TGCGCCTTCCATGTCCGCGGCCAATTGGCGAACATTTTCGGATACAAACGCGTCTGTGGCCAATACGGCCGGTTCGGCGTGCGCTTTGTCTCGATGAAGCTTACGGTTATGCTGTGTCCAATTCTGAAAAGCTGCCTGGAAATTGGCATTCCCCACGCGGGGGGCACCGTAAAGATACGCAGGCGGCACAAAGATCTGAAGGTCGCGAAACTGCTTGCTGGCACGTAGCTCAAACGCCGCTAATGTCGCCATGGCGCCGCCAAGCGAATGCCCTACCGTACGGACTTCTCGGCAACCCAACTCCTGAATCATTGACCGAAGACTCAGGCGGAGTTCATCATAAGCCCATGCAAATCCTGAGTGAACCTGACACTCTGGACACCAGTCGTCTCCCCCTGAAGCATTCAGGGGCCACTTTGACATGAAGAAGCCAATGTTTCCCTTCCAATTTCCAAAATTGACCGAACCTCGGAAGGCAGCTATACATGGTGCTTCCCAGGAGGACCGGGAGCCCGCCATATGGGGTAACTTTGCGACGTAGAATTGTACCTGGTAGTACGGTCCAGTGAATGATTTAATGCTACTGGGGACGACCCTACTAGGGAGGCAATAGTCACCGCAATCCCAATCGTCGATCCTGCGATCGTTACAGAGCGCAATGATTGCATAGGAGAACCACTCCTTCGCGTCCAATTCGTTGTATAATCTATAACTCCCCAGTGATGAATCAGTGCCATTGACATCTAAAGTCCCCGAGACGCTGTCCACTACAAGCTTCCTCTTACAGCTGACCTCGGATACTGCATTGAGGGCGACCATTGCGCAAGTGGTCAAGCTACGTCTCCTCATGGCTCGCTCCGAAAACGTAAGAATTGTCAGGCAACAGCGGTACTTGGCGTGATGCGCCTTGGGCCAAATAGCTTTAGATACTTCTAGCCACGGCGGCTTGGGCCAAAGGGGTACGGAGAAGTGATCGAAGAGGTGCTTAATGATAACTACGAGTAGTAACGTCTGGGAACCACAAATTGGCGGGGTGAGCAATTGCCTGTCAAGTTGTCCTGAAGCCCTGACATGCTCTGCTGACTGAGCCTTACGCTTGTATGGAGGTATCCCCAGCTTCTCCTACCCTGAGATGTCCCGCTGGAAGGCCCGACTCAACGCCGATCCGCTCCGAGCATGACGACACGATCCCGCAGAAGCAGATAGAAGAGGGGGGCTGTTCTGGGTTGTAGAACTGACAGCCAGCACACAAGCCTACCGAAGGAGCTGCCCATATCATATATATATATATATATGTATACACACACATCTATATATGTATATATACATATACACATACGTACACATCTATATATATATATATATATAAAAATATGAATATATATATATATATATACAAATACATATACATACACACGTGTAAAGCAGGAGTGGCAAACCAAGACATTAACCCACCGCAGACATTGCTGCCCCACGAACGCATGGGCGACCCACAGAGAGGCGCACCCGCTGGGCACCGCGGGGCGAGCGGCCGCGGGCCCCGACGTACGGAGCGCCTACATCAAAGGTCTGGCCGGAGCCGGCCGCACGCGCCGATCTGTGGCCGACTGGCGCTGCTCGGCGCGCGCCCCCGTGGGGCCCCTCTGCAGCGGGCCCCACGACCAGGCCGAGACGAACCTCGCGGGGCGCCGTCAGGCCCCGCCCCGGGCCCCCACGGAGCCCGGGGGCGTCCAACTTTTGGTCGGCGGGTCGGGAGCGGGCCTCTTCCGGTTCAGAGCTGGGCGGGGCGCGCGAGGCACTGATTGGGGAGACTCGGGGGCGTCCGATCCAGGAGCGTCCAAGGACGGGGGGTCGTGAATCGTGGCCGGAGGCAGGTTCGCGGACGAGGGGGGGGGAGGGGGATTCCATGAAAGAAAAAAAAAAATAGCCTGGCGAAGGACCCAACCATATGCAGTTGTGGGTATCGCATTCGGGGGAGCCCCTTATGGGGCCACGAAACCCGGGGGCGTCCAACTTTTGGTCGGCGGGTCGAGAGCGGGCCTCTTCCGGTTCAGAGCTGGGCGGGGCGCGCGAAGCACTGATTGGGGAGACTCGGGGGCGTCCGACACAGGAGCGTCCAAGGAGGGGGGGTCGTCAATCGTGGCCGGAGGCAGGTGCGCGGACGAGGGGGGGGGGATTCCATGAAGGAAAAAAAAGGGCTTGGAAATCCAGATGGATGCCATGGCCCTGGCCACACCTTCGCCTCGGGGTTCTCGGATCAGAACTCGAAAAATTTCAAAGAACAAAAAAAAACGAAAAATCGGCCACCATTATTCTTGACTATTTTGGGATATTCCTCCTGTAGAGGGACGTGCCCGACTTACCCCTAGCATCGTTCTCGAGAAGCCGTGGGCCCCCCAAGGCTCCCTCACGGCCGGGCATGGCCGGCCCACCCTCCTTCTGGCGAAAGGAGGCAGAGGCTAAGAGCGCCACGACGGCTGCCTGCCCCCGACTGGCCATC